GGCTAAAGTCACCTGAACGAAATTTACTGAACCATCATTGACACTCACGAACGTTCAAAACATTTCCATAAACTTCTATGATATTCTTTGTGGCTATAGAGAAGTTATTTCCCTTCATGCCGATTGCGTGTCTGGTCGTGTGATATCACTATAAGGGATTAGAGTATACTAAACTTTACACATTATATAAGCTATACTAATGTGACTTTACGCGGTTCGTTTAACTATTGTACGTGACGTAAGTTTTTTGGGGGTGATTAACGAAAGTGAAAGTTAATGAAGCACGGCATTAATTTCTTGACGACCTAATACAAGTAGTGTAAGTTGTAGTCATGGGAAAATCACATCTCTTAACCCTATCTGCAAAGACACCCTTTACTGCATATGTCAAAAGGTATTTAATGACTCATATTCAAAATTTAATTAAACTACTTTTTGTTTATATCATACCAATTACTATGGCATAAATTCATAGCTAATAATTCATATTTTAATAGTATACAAGTTATGTACTTAATTTTATAAGGCAATATTTAAAAAAAATCCTGAATTTTGCCTAGTGTGAGAAATGTGACATTTTGTCTCTATGTATTCCCTCTTCTCTAATTTATTCACCATTCCTCCAATAAGTACAAAATTTAATGTAAATTAGTCACTACAAAATCACCATCGCTCAGACAAAGTATAATTTTTATAACCTTCCATCTTGTTTGGTTAAGGAGCCATCAAATAGAAAATCAGATCTTTTACCACACGTTACATCCTCTCTTTCAGGATTTGTTGATAGTTCTCTCATGTTTATTGTTATATTATTTACAACCAATAGAAATCCAAGTTTTCCATCTATCAAATAACATATTATATTACTTTGTTTTCTGAACAGAAAATTGTCAATTTCTCTTTTAGCATAAGCTTCATTCCCACGGGCAAGATAACCAGCACGGATGAATTTGTAATGGCTCTTGTAGCATAGTTAGAAAGCTAGAAAAGCTGTGATAGTTAGGGGACATCATCCACTTTTTGCATGTTATTTGGTGTATTATTTAATTAAATAAAAATTACTTAGTGCACTACTACCATTAGTATAAAAAAGTAGGGTTAAGTGTCATAAAAGTCGACAGCAAAAAAAGACAAGACCTGGGTAAGTACTTTATTTCTTGTTTTTCATGGGTATTCTTTATTTATTATTATTAAAAGTAACTAAAATGTAAAAATAGGAATCTCTTTAGGTAAATTAAAGTTAGATTAGGTAAAATAAACGATAATAATATAATAAACATGTTTCATGAGGCACGCATGAGCTTCACGTTTCCCAAGTGATTTATAACTTATAATCACGCGAATGGTTTTTAATTATAAATAGATGTATAATGTTACAAATTTAAAGCTACTTAGGATAAACAAATGTTGTTTCATGTTACAATTTGAAGTCATTCTAGAAAGAAAAAAAGGTAATTTAGATTTAGATCAGTCAAATTGACCAACGTAGTACAGCGTTAGGGTAGAGAAAATAACACAAAATATAAAATTTTACTAAAAATAAATGTTTGAAATGCATTTAGGAGGTTTCAGATATTATGCAAATAAAATTTGAGATTTTATAAATGAAGAAAAGCATTTTTAATCTCAACATGAAAATCACTTGGAACAGGGACTAGTAAAAAAAAGGGCTTGATATATTCATGGACAAATCTTTTTATTTATTAAAAATACTTCACTAAAAAAATTTGATTTTCCTCTGTGAAAGACTTGTAATGTTTACTAAAAGACTGCAAAACTGTGTGAAGATATACACACTATATTAAAACTTAGTAGTATCAAAACTATAAAAACTTTGAATGGTCACGTTAACCTGTGTAAAGAGTTAATATATAAAATAGCAAATAAAAGAAAAAATATGTTAAGATTAATTCTTTGTCATTATTTACTGATAAGCTTTAATAAAATTAGTCTCTATACAAAGGGATGTTTGTAGGACAATTTTCACATTGTGTCTTTCCTCCTTCAAAACACACCCAACAATGCTTTTAAACTCTTCTTTCTTATGATGGGCTGTGAAAGAACACTATTTTTATCCGTTTCATAAAAACCAACCAGAAAATAGTATCAATTCCACAAAATTGATTATCATCAGAAACTATATTAAAATACATCAGTATATTGGTTAATCTCTTTAACCGACCATAATGGCTAAACTCACCCTCGCCTTGTCAATGTCAAGACGCCGGCCCACAGTTTTCATTATCTGACAGAGACATTCGAGGTCTTCAGATGTATCCTTAACCCCCTGTCTCTTCTTCTTGGCAAGCAGTTGCTGGATGCACTGGTGCAAAATGGCCTCATGTAAAAGACCTTGCTTCCCAAGCTCACCAATGAACTTAATGTTTCCAAGCATCTTGTGCTTGGCAATACCTCGCTGTTCTTCTTCTTCTGGAGTAAGTGGTCCATCTCTTTTGTCAAAGGCTTTCCAAAAAGAACAAAACCATCTGCATTAAATTCAAGTAGTACGAAAAAGATTAAATAGTTTCCATTCATGAAACTGATATTTTTTTTCAATACTTCTAACTGATAAAAAAATAACTACATCTCAGCATAGTGAACAACTTATTTTCAGCTTCATATTAGCTGAATTTCTTACAATAACGATTTTGTAAAATCTATCTAGCTTAAAATATGTTAATTAGAAATTTAGATATACAATTTCCTTACCAAAAAAGACAGAAGAAGAGTACTTACAATTCTTTCAGTTAGTTTAATAAAGAGCCACATACAAAATATCAACTCTTAAAAACCTTGACTAACTAGTTTCTTGAGTTACAACTCAAATCCCACTGTTTTCCAAGTTGTTACACATTCATTAACAGACATTACCATTTTATTTAATATAAAACTGTAACTATATAAAAATTATAAGACACTAACCAGGTAACAATGTCCAGATACAACACCAAGATATTGGGTTTTTAAGGAGACTAGCTACCACTGCCATACAATAGAATATGAAGACATGTTTGAGATAAAGTGCAATAACTATATGAAAATTATAAGACACTAACCAGGTAACAATGTCCAGATACAACACCAAGAAACAATAAAATACTGCTACCATAAGCAATTTCACCAAATATGAAGATAAGTTAATAAAGCAAGATGAAGTTAGTAATCAATGAAATATAATATTAAAAATATAATGACAGGTTTAGTTTACATTAAAAAAGGAGGGGCAGTGATTATTCAGTAGGTAGAACCCAATAAGCTTAGTTGGTGATCATTATCAGGTCCTAATACATCAAAGCTTTAAGAAAACCTAGCTTTACTGAATTAAACCATTCAAAATTGCATGAACCCATAGAAAACATTTAAAAATAATAAAAATATATTGTAAAAAACAGCCAATGTCAACTAGCTTGAGATGGTTGAAAATAACTGGAGCAGTGAAAGTTTACAATTACCACATACAGCAGAAGGTGTTAGTTCAAGTAACATCCAGTCACCCGGGATTATACTTCTTTTTCAAGTTGGAGCACAGCAGAAGATGCTAGTTCAAGTAACACAAAGTCACCCGGGATTATACTTCTTTTTCAAGTGGAGCACAACAGAAGATACGGATGGCAATTTTACATAAGGCAAAGCATGACATATTTCAAATTATCAGAAAACCACATCTGAAATGATGGTTCAGCCAAAGGTTACATGTAGTGTAGGCAAAGAAAAATATTTTTAAATCAAAAGACTTCAAGAAAAACAAAATCAAGACTACCACCACAAATATGGATGTAAACAGATACTAAAAATTTGGAACAGTGAAAAAATAATCAACTTTGGGAGCAGGGAGCATGTACAACTATTGGGTGAAATGGACGAGTAAATCAGACAAAACTGAAAAACAAAGTGAAGATGCTTTCAAAATTCGTAGCTATAAAAACACACAAAGAGAAAGAAACAGAAATTTTATTACAAAACACTTCACAGATTAAACTCTGTGAAAACGATCCAAAGCACCAACAATTTGGTCAATTTGTCAACATTTCAAAATGTGAAAGAATACTGGAACACAAACCTAGGTTGGACTCCTGAAACATCACTGTTCTGCTACTGTTCTGTTAAGTCATATTGTAATTAATATGCATTTATTTTTTTAAATTTATCCCTACACATACATATCCACACACACATTCCTGCTGGCATGGTATAGAACTCAGTATTGATTAAAAAATTATAAAAACATGTTTAAATAGATATAGCACTTAAATTGATAATGTTTCCCCAGTTTTTGTATTTCACAATGTCATCTCTACTTCCAACCCAAGCCTTAACATCTAACCAACATGACTGGCAGTAGACAAGATTTGTCTATTTTTGTAATTAGTGAGAACTGTATTCTCTGTTAAATTATTATTCACTTTGGTACCATTCGCGTTTCTTAAGATTTGGAGCCAAATATCTGGGCCACTTTACATTAGTAATGTGAATAAAATAAAAATCTTAACAATAACTAGGACAGTTTGGTAGGCTCTGGAAAAAAAAGACTATTCCAGAAACAGATGACTATGTTAAAAGAACATAGGATTTGTTTTGTTTTTTGCAAAGCTCATTGGAGACATCTGGTTTTACCAAACTTTAATTTTTCTGAAATAACAACTACATAACCTAAATTAAGTTTTTCACATTTGCAAGGGAAAAAAAAGTTATTATTGTAATCATAAAATAAGAATTACTAATATTTAGTGTGAATCCTAACACAGTTACAAGCACCAAATTAATAGCAATTAAATCAATAATATTTCTCAATGCTTGTTTGTTTGTTTTTGAATTTCGCGCAAAGCTACACGAGGGCTATCTGCGCTAGCCGTCCCTAATTTAGCAGTGTAAGACTAGAGGGAAGGCTGCTAGTCATCACCACCCACCGCCAACTCTTGGGCTACTCTTTTACCAACGAATAGTGGGATTGACCGTCACGTTATAACGCCCCCACGGCTGAAAGGGCGAGCATGTTTGGTGCGACGGGGATTCGAACCCGCGACCTTCGGATTGCGAGTCGAGCGCCCTAACCACCTGGCCATGCCGGGCCTATCACGAAGGTACTCTTATCCTGACACACCTGGCCATGTTGGGCCTATCACGAAGGTACTCTTATCCTGACAATACTCTTGCAAAAAATTGTAAGAGTGATCATGTGACGTGTTTGTAGACTGAATTCTGTTATGATTTTTTTACATATTCTAAAGCTGTTATGATAGTACTGACAGATAAACGGCGAGCCATGTACACTTTCGTACGGAATGTTGGTGTGATCTTGCAGGTTAACATGTAATAATGTTGGTGTGATCTTACAGGTTAACATGCATTAATGTTGGTGTGATCTTACAGGTTAACATGTATTAATGTTGGTGTGATCTTACAGGTTAACATGCATTAATGTTGGTGTGATCTTACAGGTTAACATGTATTAATGTTGGTGTGATCTTACAGGTTAACATGTAATAATGTTGGTGTGATCTTACAGGTTAACATGCATTAATTAATGTTGGTGTGATCTTACAGGTTAACATGCATTAATGTTGGTGTGATCTTACAGATTAACATGTATTAATGTTGGTGTGATCTTACAGGTCATGTATTAATGTTGGTGTGATCTTACAGATTAACATGTACTAATGTTGGTGTGATCTTACAGATTAACATGTAATAAAAAAAGATTTACCAGGTAGATCGTAGCGTCATTTTTTTTCACGTTGAATGTCTGTGACAAGTTCGTTTTTCAGCTAAAGAGTAATTGATATTTCTGAGGAAGGTGCAATTTTTCACCGCGTTAAAAGACAAATTTGGAAAGGGTTTACATGTTTATGAAGGAGTGATTAAAACACACATATGTTCTTCACGGAGAACATAGTAATAACTGTCAAACATTATTGAAACTCAAAAATAATATATAGTCGTAGTCATAGGCCTTTCCAATCAAATATCTTTTTAAGGACGTTCTTTTCAAAATTTTTATGGAAGAGAACCAATATTTTATTATGATGGTTTAAATTTACTAGTGTTTACAGTAAAGCTTGTGTGATATTGAATCGTAATTTTTGATTCGATATCTTCAATATAATCAACTGTTATTCACAAGCATTATGAGAATAAGCCACAGTTTCAAGCCTCAAATACACTCTTTAAAAATATTTTAACGTCTAAGGTTGCTCACAACATATTTGTTAAGAAATGATAGTATGTTACAATAAGTTCTCCATCAATACGCACAATCTACATGTGTGTGTTTGAAGGATTGGAGGACTCACGTGTTCTAATCTTATGTTTTAAACACACACATGTAATTGTGCGTATTGGGAAAGGATAAAACATAAGATTAGAACACGTGAGTCCTCTACCAATACGCACAATCTACATGTGTGTGTTTAAAGGATGAAACATAAGATTAGAACACGTGAGTCCTCTACCAATACGCACAATCTACATGTGTGTGTTTAAAGGATGAAACATAATATTAGGACACGTGAGTCCTCCACCAATACGCACAATCTATATTACATATGTATTTTGAAAGGATAAATCTACACGTGTGAGGTTTCAAAGGATAACACACTAAATTAGAACCCATGTAATTCGATATTTTTTTTCAGATACAAAATTAAAATAATTGGATTCACCATTATTAAGCCACTGTCTTGCTTTTAAGGGATTTGAGGAAACGTCGTTTTTGTTTACAAAAAACAAAACTTGGATATTTTGTTGATACGATCTGGTTGAAATTGACTACAACTGTCAGACTTTGTCTCCTTTCAAAAATTGCTGTTAGTTTATCAATATGATCACGAGTACATAAGACAGTAAAAAGTTTCCAACGACAATTTGACATAATTCACAATAAGTGTCACCGTACCCGATGATGACAAAACCTTGTCGAAACGTTGTACATTTGCTGTTATGTTAAACTTATATTAAAGTTTTTTTTCATTACCCATTCAAGCCGTTTCCAAGAATTATTAGTCTCAAAATGGGTTGGTTTCTCGTCATCCATTGGCCCGGCATGGCCAGGTGGTTAGGGCACTCGACTCGCAATCTGCAGGTCGCGGGTTCGAATCC